TTAAGTACTAAGTGTTTTTAAGTACCTAGGTGCTTAAAGTGCTTAAAATCTTACGTGCTTAAGTGCTTTTAAGTAATTTCAAGTGCTTTTGTGTTTTTAAGTACTTACGTGTTGAACACTGAAAATCACTTTTTAAGTACTTAAGTGTTTTTAAGTGATTTTAAGTACTTCCGTGCTTTTAGGTTTTTTTAAGTGCTTAAAAAAACTTAGTTACTTATAACTTCTGAGTTTTTAAGTATATTTAAGTAATTTTAAGGACTCGCGTGTTTTTAAGTACTTACGTGCTTTTAAGTTTTTTAAGAGTTAAAAACCTTGTTTTAAGTACTGTTTTTAAGTGCTGAAGCGCGCAAAAAATTGCTTTAAGTACTTAAAAAAACGTAAGTACTTAAATGCTTTTAAGTGTTTTTAAGTACTTACGTGCTTTAAAAAATTTAAGTACTTAAAAACTTTTAATTACTTAAGTATTTTTAAGTGCTTAAGTGTTTTTAAGTACTTAAGTGGTTTTTAGATACGAAGTATTTTTAAGTACTTAAGTGCTTAAAAATGTTTAAGTGCTTAAAAGTTTTTAAATACTTAAACAATTTTTTTAAATTAAGTGCTTTCAAGTGTTTTTAAGTACCTAGGTGCTTAAAGGTGCTTAAAATCTTACGTGCTTTTAGGTTTTTTAAGTGCTTAAAAACTTGTTTAAAGTACTTAAGTGTTTTCAAGTACTTAACTGCTTTTGTGTTTTTAAGTGTTTTTAAGTGTTGAACACTGTGTGTTTTAGTGTTCAAACACACAAGGCGCACTGAAGTGTGTTCAAGCACATAAGTGTGTTGAAACACATAAGCCGCACTTAAGTGTGTACAAACACTTAAGACGCACTTAAGTGCGTACAAACACTTAAGTGTGTACAAACACTTAAGTGCGTCTTAAGTGTGTAGAAACACTTAAGTGTGTTCAAACACATAAGACGCACTTAAGTGTACAAACAAGACACGCTTAAGTGTGTTCAAACACTCAAGTGTGTTGAAACACATAAGACCCACTCAAGTGTGTTCAAACACATAAGACGCACTTAAGTGTATGCAAACACTTAAGTGTGTTCAAACACATAAGGCGCACTTATGTGTGTTGAAAATCATAAGACGCACTTAAGTGTGTTCAGACACACAAGACGCGCTTAAGTGTGTACAAACACATAATTCACACTTAAGACGCGCTTAAGTGTGTTCAAACACATAAGGCGCACTTGAGTGTGTACAAACTCTTAAGACGCACTTAAGTGTGTTCAGACGCACTTATGTGTGTTGAAAATCATAAGACGCACTTAAGTGTGTACAAACACATAAGGCGCACTTATGTGTGTTGAAAATCATAAGACGCACTTAAGTGTGTTCAGACACACAAGACGAGCTTACGTGTGTACAAACACATAAGACGCACTTAAGTGTACAAACACTTAAGACGCGCTTAAGTGTGTTCAAACACATAAGGCGCACTTGAGTGTGTACAAACTCTTAAGACGGAAAGTCACGGAAAGAAACATAAGATGTTTTTGTGCTGTGCTTGACTTGCATTCCCACTCAGACAGGAAGAGGACAGCGGAGGACTTCCAACGCTTGACCTTACACTGTTTCAAAGGTGCACAATCGGCCCCACGTACTTTCGGACTCGGGTTACGCGGAAAACCTTTTCGGACAGAAGAGCCATTGACGCCGAAACGGTGCGCTAAGCCCAGTAGGCCATTTGACCTGCCGGTAAAATGAGAATGAAAACGAGTGGGTCACGAGCAAAACGCTTCATCGGCGAGGACCAAATCGAGCAGCCCCGACTTGGCTTCCCGTGAAGCGTGACGTCGTCGTCGTCGTCGCTCGCTACCGAGGCCACGCGTGAACGCCGCAAATGTGGACTCCGCTCGAGTCTGGGGTTCCGGCCGGTTCCGCTCTGATTGTTCTTCCGGACCAGTGCGGCTCGCAATTCGAGCTGTCGGAGTGACCTTTGTGCGGGCGGGGGTATTGCGCACAAGCGACGGGCTTGTTGCATGCGGGCGAAGGCGTTTGATGAGCATGAGAGCATTTATTTGCGCATGAAGGACTGAGGCGCATCGCAGAAAGAGCCCGGACGCACTTGGCCTCCTAAATGGGTCAAAAGTGTGTGGGCAACCCGTTGGAGGAGGCTGCGTGAAGACGCCCTCAGGACAATCATTCGCGCGGGTGTTCGAGTTACATTGGTGTGCCGGTTGCAAAAGAATCTGGAAGCCGTTTTCCGGATCGAGGGTGACTTTTGGCGTCCTCTTGGCGCTTTGAAGGAAAGGCAAAGGCCAAGAAAGAGGTCAGCCGCCGCACTTGAAGGATTCCACTCAGTCGCCACACGTCTTGTCTGCACTCAGGTCAACTTGGTGAACGGTGAAGACGTCCTCCGTTCTATGAGCGGGATTCGCACAGGAATCTGACGCACACACACACACCGCACGCACGTGCGCGCGCGCGCGGTGACATTTGGGAAGATATATAAACGGCAGCGCAAGGGACGGCGAGTCAGACCATTGGCGATCAGGGCGGAACCGCGGACCTTTCTGACTTGAGCATGCTGAGCAGGTAGGTCCTCGCTCCCGCCCGCAACGCGGCTCCGGTCTCACAAGCGCGTGCGGTCACGCGGGAAATGACGCGAGCCAAATCCACGCTGAGGCGAAACGTCCGACGCGGAAGCTTGAGCGCCTGGTTTTGCCTTGCAGAAAGGCGCTCCTCCTTTCGGCGGCCATGTTGGTCACGCTGGCTCGCGGAGACGCTCGCGGCGACGGTCAGGTGACGTCCGATCAAAGTTCTCCGTCGAGCGGACTCTTCCTCATTTCTCCGTATGTCTTTCCTACTCAGACTCCACGTCCGACGAAGTTCCCGCAGGTGAGAGTCCACCAACGTGTGCCAATGCGGTGCAAACTGACGGAGGCGGCCCGAAAGAAAGCCGTCGCGGGGAGACGAAGAGACTTGCGCAGTCGGGGAGCTTTGCGACGAGGCCGGACGATCGGACGTGGAGACGTGCGGAAGGTCTGGCCCGGAGGCCGTCCCGAACGCCGACCTGGAAACGTAGCAGAAAAAGAGGGGAGGGGGGCGGGGCTTCACGCGGCACGTCGTCGGCTTGCCACCTCCACCTTGAGCGACTTCGCTTCTTGTCCGTCCTGACCAAAGCAAACGGTTCCATTCCCTTTCAAAAAAAAAAAAAAGTACAAAAACCACCACTGCACTTTCGAGGGCCAGATTATTCCGCGACTCACTCACGCCAATGTCGTTCACTTTTTCTCGCGGCGCGCGCAGCCAATCAGGTAACCGTCGTCTCAGTTGGGCGACGGAGAGCGAAATCCCGCCGATCGTCCGCAGGGACGTCCGTTTCTTCATGCGGATGCGCCGCTGAGGCGATGAATGAGCCCACCGATCTCCGTTTCCTTTCCAGAAGCCGCGGCGACGAACGGCGGCGCCGCCGAAGCGGAAGAAGGTCAGAGGCCGTCTTGGACGTTGACCGCTCTTCAAAGTCTCTCGTGGCATTTGTTCTCCACGACCGGATTTGGCGGCAGGCGCTCGCGCGGCTTCGGGCCATTACTGGCCTCAACCGAGGTCATTGCGAACGACCCGGCCCACCGTCGCTCTTTCTGACGCTTGGCCGCACAAAAAGAGCAGAGGAGGTTTCGCCCGAGTCACGCCGGCGCAAATTTGCGTGGCGATCGGTCATTTCCTGAACAAAATGCGCCAAGTTGGTCGAGTCTGAACAAAAGCGTGCCGGAGAATGCCGTCTCCGTGCCGAGCGCTCTCATACTTTTTGCGTTCAGGACTCTTGAGAGCGTAAATGCAAACATTTGGCAAAACGCTCGGCGGCGTTGTTTTATCGTTCCAGATGACGAGAGTCCAGACAACGGACAGGAGGCAAGCTTCGGCGCTCCCGCCGCCAAAGCTGAAATCCTCGCCACCGCCGGCCTGAGCCTCGCCCCCGACAATCTGCTTCACGTTCACGGGCCCGGCGGTGCCAAGAGTCCCGATCGTGCCAAAGGTGCCAAAGGTCCCAAAGATCCGGCTGTCCGTCCTCAGGCCAAAGTCGTTCCGAGGAATCGAGCGTCCAAAAGGAAGTCCAAAGTGGCTCGTCCCCCCGTGTGAACGGGCGGCCATCCCGCAGGCGCCACGCAGCACGTCCGGCTCCATAATAAAAGAATCCAACATTGCCGCTTCTGTTCACGCGTGTCTCTTTTGACGCTTCCACGCGGAACGCAGGGGATGGACGGACTGCATTCCAGGCTCAGATGAGAAAAAGACGAGTCTCTCACACACACACACACACACACACACACACACACACAAATAAGTGTGACAACTGAACACACGCCGCCTGACGGCATGACCAAGTACAAGATGAAAAACTCTTGGCCTCAATTCACCCCCTTTAAAAAAAAAAAAAACAAATGGAATCAGCACGCTGAACTTGGCGAGCCCGTTGATGGAGCAAAACGTTTGCTTTCACGTGAACTCAAAATCCCCAAAGTGACTCGGATTCATGACGCGCACGTGATGACGACTTGCTGAGCGCAGTTTTTGGAGGAGTCGAAAGCTAAACTGAGGCAAGGCTCGTTTTGGTGCCGGCAGACGAGCCTTTGCGCCGCTCCGTCCGACGTCTGCGGCAGAGGTGCTCGCTGAGCAACGGCGTCAAGGGCGACGTCTCCGACTTGAATACGAACGCGATGAGGAGCTCCAAAAGTTGAACTTGTCGGAATGCGGCCCGATGGCCCCTCTTTTGGCGATGAGGAAGAAGCCCCAGGGTGACGCGCGGGTCATCCTTGACCTCTGAACTCCCGGGGCGTCTCCGACCTGCCCGATGACGTGCCCGCGCCACCGCTGCGTACGGGCGGTCTTTAAGTCATCTCTCGCCATCCGGCCGTCTCTCGTCTTCTGGTCCCGTCTTTCCCGGTACTCCGCTCGGGTCCGGGCGTCTCGTCTCTGGCTGGAGCTCGGGTGGGCGGAGCGGGAGGAGGCGGGGCCAAGGCCGGCCCATAAAAGCGGCCGGAGAGCTTGCGGTGGAGCTCGCGAGACGGGAGAAGCTCGAGTGGAATCCCGCCGACACTGGCTGCGTCGTCCTCTACCAAAATGCTCCCTCGGTGAGTTGACCGATCGATGCCTCTCACGCGACTCCGCGTGAGAGGAAGTGAGAATTCAGCTTTTGCCCAGTTGCCCGCACTGAGGCGCTGAGGACTCTTGGCGTGAGCTGATGATGAATGAAAAAAGCTCCGCGAAGCTGGCGACGTTCCTCCGTGGAAAAGACGAGACGTGTGGCGGAACGACATTTCCGCAAGCCTTCGAGCTCACCCCATCGGTCTCGCGGTCAACTTTTGAAAGGGCAAAAGATGCGCTGATCACGTGCTTCCCTCCACACTAACGCTGCCTGTGTATTGTGTGTGTGTGTTACAGTCGAGTTCATTTTGAGTCTGTGTGCATGACAATGCTGTTCATTGTGTGCGTGTGCGTTGCAGGTGTGTCACACTCTTAGCGGTCCTCACTCTCGTCCCCCTAAGTGCGGCCGCTCCGCTTCCTGGTAAGATCTGAGCTCGCTCGCCGTGTGCGATGTCACGTTTGCTTTGGATTGGTCCATTTTTGGTGCTCGTCACTTGGACAACGACAGTGAGCTCATTGGAAAGACAAATGTGGTTTACGTTGCAGACCGAAGGAAGGCGCCGCTGCCGCTCGCTTATCTTGATGGTAAGTTTGTCGCCAATGCCACACACGTGTTACACGTACACAGGACAAAGCTTCGGCACCTCGTCGCGAGAAATGGAACGGGGGCGTGGCCGTTGTCTTGAATACGCCGCTTGTTGTTCTAGGGAGGGCAACCACGCCAACGGTGACGTCACGGCCAGGTAGGCACGAGTGCGCTCCGGACAGACGGCGGACCCGTCGCCAGTTTTTTTTTTTTTTGGGGGGGGGGGGGTTTGCCCCTGTGGTGCTTGCGCAGCATTTGGTCGGCGCAGCCTCATCAAAGGCCCACGCAAATGGCAATCCCCTCTCATTAGCGTGGCCGCGTCTCAGTCGTGTGAGCGTTTCTGACATTAGCGTGTCCAACTCCGCGCGGTGTTCACCTTTGTAACCGACCTCCGAAAGGCGAAGAGCGGGTTGCTCAAAAGGCTTTTCCTTCCGAATGTTGTCTGCGCTCGTTTCAGCTCCCGCCGAGCCGCGCGGCGCATCCGATTCTCCAGGTAAGCCGGCGACAGCATTTGCGCGGCCTCGCGCGCTTCTCCCGGGAGCTCACGGGAGCCTTTGCGTCGGCAGGTGCCGACGACTCCCGGGAACAAGCCGAAGGTAGCGTTCGAGCTCGTCACTGTCGCCTCGTTGTCGCGCCCTTCGTACGAGTCGTCCGCTAACTTGGTCTTTCCCAGCGCAACCCGACGACGAAGATCTCGACCGAGTGGAGCGCGAAGGTGCGATCCTTGAACGTCAACCGTAGCGCGCCGACTCCTCGACCAAGTGTCACATTTGTGTCCGCAGGTGCTTCCGACACGACGGATTCAGGTAGCGCGTCTCCTTCGGCTGGGTCGAGAAGAAATCCGACGTTCGTGGGGCCGATCTCGAGACGTAAAACCAAAAGCACACGATGACATCAGAGCGTGTCGATGCGAAGACGTGTCGGGCAACTTCTCTGTCGCTTTGACGCGGCGTCCCGTCAAACGGACGTCGACGTTTCCGTCCGAATGCGCGCGGCGTACTCGCGCGCCGCGTCTCGAGGGGTGACGTCAACACACGTCAACATCCCGCATCTCTCCGCAGATGGAGTTGCGGAAGGTCCCGACGAGCCCCGGGCAGAAAACCAAGGTATGACAGGAGGTCTTCTTTGCCGAGGCGAGTCTCTCGAGGACCTTTCTCACCCCGAACGCAAACTTATTTGCAGAGTCTCCGGAATCGGCAGATCGGATACAATCGCCCAAGTCGTCGGAAACCGCGTACTCGCTCGAGTCTGCGGAATCCCCAGAGTCGGCGGATCCACAAGAGTCGGCAGAATCGGTAGAGTCCACGGCGTCACCGGAGTCTGCGGAATCGCAAGAGTCCCCGGACTCGACCCGGTCCGGAGAGTCTTCGGAATCGCCGACGTCTCTCCATTCGGCCCGGTCCGAATCAGGTCAGCTTCCGTTCTATCGCCAACGAGTAAGCCCCGCGCCCGCCGAGACGGATCCCGCGACCTTCCGTCATCAGAGTCAAGTTCGGAGGCGGGCAAGGAGAGCGAGAAGACCGCCGGCGATTGCGAGTCGGACGCGACCGAGGCCTGCGGTGACCGCGGAGGCGACGGGGCTGACCCCGTGGCCGCGTTTAACTCGGAGGAGGGCGGTAAGCCGGGGCCCGGGCTCTTTGACGAGGAAGGCGGTCGGTCAAAAGAAGGAAGCCAGAGATCAGAAAGGCACGAGATGGAAGCGGAGCGCATCGGGGAGGAAGATGGAATCGCTTCCGAGGACGACGAGGGATCCCGGGCCGGTGTCAGCACGGAGGACGCCGAGCTCGGCGTCGAGGACGAGGCGAACGCCGAGGAGGAGAATGTTCAAGAGAGCTCCCAAGTCTTTGACTCCACCGAAGGTGACTAAAAGGTCCCCACCCAAAGCGTGGTCTTGGACTCCAAAGTCCTTTTCTGACTTGGCGTGTTTGGTTTTTTTTTTTTTACAGCAACTCTTGTTGAGAAATCAGACTCCACCCCCTCCCGCCTCAGGGTAGGTAAATCTTACGCTCACATTTGACACGTCAATGGCGAAACCCGCCCAAAAAAGCTGATGAGCAAGAATTGATCTGGAATCTTCTTTGCTTTTTCTTTCTTCAGGAGTGAATTTGGCCTCCGAGCTGCGACCCCGTCGTCATCGAGATCCGAATATGCTTCGAATGGCCTTTTCCATCCGCGACCGGCCTACTTTGGATTTGCAGAAACAAGCATAAGCGGGGGCGGGGGGGGTCTGCCGGTTGCCATGACAACTTCCCGTTCGGATCGCTCGCGTCTTTGAGTCTTTGTCAAGCGCTCGTCGCCGCGTTATTCCGCGCGCCGACTGAGCATGTCCATTGTCTAGCGCTCGTAGAGAACGCCGTGCAGCAATAATGGCTGGAGGCTAATAAAGTTTCAACGGTCGCGTGTCCTTCCTTTTCTTCCGACCGCTCATTGCCGAGACGCCGACGTGTCGTTCGAGCCGGCCGGCCCGACGTTCGAGCTTGAGGCGCCGCGGAGGCCGGGCCCCGCCCGCTTCCGATCTTGCCGCCGAAATCGACAAAGCAAATGTGGCCGTCGGCCACAAATGATTTTCTTGTTGGAATTTTGAGTTTGTTTTGGGGTGGGGGGGGCACGACTACCCAGTTGTGCCTCATTTGATTTCTCATGTCATTGCCTTGTCCAGATAAGGACGCAAAGCGCACTTGTGCAACATTTGCGGCTGCGAGCAAAGAGGGCTTTCTCTTTGGGACAAATTGACGTCAGGAAAAAGGATTCAGACTCGCAAAGTCACCTTGAGGTCGCTCTTCCTCTTTCCCACTCCGGTGTCCTTCTCCACCCCCCTCCAAAAGAAAAAAAAAAATCCAGACAAAAGCAGCGGCGCTTTGTGTTCTTCAATAGTTGGAGGCCATTTGGAGTTTCTTCGAGAAACTGAAGTCGATGACGGGCGCGGAGCTCAGTTTCCGCGCCGTGGGGGCCGACGGGCTCGGGGGCGGTCACAGTCAGCGCTGGAGTTACCGACATGGAAGAGTGACTGAGGTGAGTGAGATGGAGTTTCCTCAAAAGGATGAATGAGCGGCGCCGGTGGTCTTCGTTCGACACGCACGCGCAGAGCGTCTACCAAAGAACAAGTGCGCTTTCATGGCCGCTCGAGGAACTTCAGGAGGCCAAACTCAATTGGCACTCTCACGCGCATCCACCGCTTGGCTCTCATTCTTGCTGCCAAATACTTCACAAGCATATTCAGTCGCGACGCATCTCCGTGAGAAACCGTTTTTAAAAGCCTCTTCAAATCGATTTTTTAACAATGACAACCCAAAAAAACCATCGCAAAACGAATGATCACCGGAAATTGTAAAAAAAAATAAAATATGTTGCCATCTCTCTCGCCCGCCCGCCCCCTCTCTCAGAGTGACACACACACCGACCTCCACAATGGAGCGCACACCCCCACCTTTACGCCCACCCCTCCGGAGACGCGAGGGCCCGAGCCCGCCCCCCGCGTATAAAATGCAGAGGCGCCTCATTTATGCAGAGCAACATCATGTCGCCTCGGTGAGTAAACTCGGACGGCGGGAACGCATTGCCGGGCTCGCTCGCTCGCGACTCGCGGACGCCGTTGCGACTCTTCAATGGGCGGGACTTAAGACGATCCCGAAGCGCGACGGTGACTAATCGGCGCACACGACAGCGACCGACGAGCGATATCGATCGGGGGACGGAGCCTTTTCCGTGTCTCCGCAACGACCTCCCGCTGAACATCGGGCGAGCCCCCTCGCCGCCCATCTTTCGAGCTCGTCTCAAAACTCGTTTGTATTCGATGCCATTTGAGACCACCCGATCTCAGTCTGACCGTTTGCTGTTTTCGACCGTCTTTGCTATTCGTTTGTTGTCGAGATGAGATTCGCCCCACGTACGGCGCTTTGTATACAGCGACGGTTGTTTGAAAGCGCTGCGGTTGAGTCGAGCGGCTCGGCGGTGACGTGTGTGTGCGTGCGTGCGTGCGTGCGTGCGTGCGCTTTTACCGGCGTCGTCGCTTTCCTCGGCTCCTTTGGGCAAGTTGTCGCACAGAAGCTGCCGACAAAAGACGCACTTCTTAAAGAGACGCACGGAGCCGGCGCCGTTCACTCCGAACGCGGTCGCTCACACTTACAGAGTCCAAAGCGCCGATGTCAAAGTCGCCCGGCGGATTGAAGAACTGAACACACAAAAGGGGTTCGGCACGTTAGCGCGCGCGTCGGCGTCACTCGCGCCCGCCTGCCCGCCCGCCCGCCGATGCCATTTGAGACCACCCGATCTCAGTCTGACCGTTTGCTGTTTTCGACCGTCTTTGCTATTCGTTTGTTGTCGAGATGAGATTCGCCCCACGTACGGCGCTTTGTATACAGCGACGGTTGTTTGAAAGCGCTGCGGTTGAGTCGAGACGTGCGGCGAGCGAGCGAGCGAGCGCTCGCGAATGTGTGAAGCGATGACTTTGTGCCCCTCAGGAACTTGATCTGGACGTCCTTGCTGGCTGTCCTGGTAACGGCGGCGTGGACGGCCCCCGCGGAGGGTAAAGCGACGCCGGCCAAAAGCCCGAGCGGCGGCGCTCCCGACGTGAGACGGGTGCTTGTTTTGCAGAGCGGGAGGAAGAGGCGGAGTTGACCGAGGAGGCGGAGGGAGACCGGTCCGAGGAGGACGAGGGTAGGCCCGGCCCGAGACCCGCCGCGCGCTCGGCCGCTCCCCTCCGCGGCCGAGCGGAAGCTCGTTGGCGCCAACGAGCTTCCGGACCGACGGTCGATGCGACCGAAGCGCGCCGCTGGCGGAATAGTCCGGCTGCAAATTGGAAGCCGTGCGTGAAAAGGGCTCAAAGACGGTCGAGTCTGCGAGAAGGCGTTGACTTGCGCCGAAAAGAAGAAGGACGCGCACGTGCGGTTTTGCTTTCGGATGACGACGACTCCGCAGAGGAGGAGGAGGGTGAGACGGGCCCCCCGCCCCTTTCACCTTTCACCTTCCCGCCGGAACGTGGCGTCTCTTTCAAGTCGCTCTGATTTGGACAAACGGCATTGCGCTCCAAATTGGCGTCTTGGAACAAACAAACGATCTGATTGAAAGGCTCCAGTTTTTCATTAAGTGCAGGAAACACGAGCGCCTTTCACCCTCCTCCCTGCTCCCCCCACCAGGATCTCCGGGCGCCCACCAGAGCGCGGCGGCGGCGGCTTCGGGTAAGTCGACTCCCGCCGCCCCCGCCCTTTTCCCCCCCGCCCTGAAAAGTCGCTTTGTTCCACTTTCATTGCGCTCGGAGCGCCGGACGTCTTCCGCGGAAACACGAGCCGGCCGATCCGCAGCTCGGCGCGCATTTCATTTGTCGAGACGAGTCCCCCGAAAAGGAAAAGGCCGACTTGCTCCAGCCGAAAGCGCTTTCAGCCGTGAGCGTCGGGGTCGCTGCGGTTTGGAGATCTCTCGATGGGCGCTAATTCTTCTCGCTCATCCCGTTCGTGAAGCGCTTCCGATCGTTCGTCGGTCGCTGGTCTCGCTCATTGTCAATTGCGCCGGCGCCGCTTTCGTCCGGTCGATGACGATCCTCCGGTTCCTCCGCAACAGGCGTCCGGGCCGAGGCGTCGCCCCTTCCCGACGTCGGCGGTGAGTGAACCCCGGGGAAAGAATCTGAGCGGTCAGAAGGCGGCGAGGCGCGGCGGGCGTCCCGTTTGACGCTGGCGTGTGACGCCTCAGGTGCGCGCCGAGCCTCGGCGGCCGCGGGACGGTCGGACGCCAACGGGGACGCTTCGGCAGGTACGCGAGACGTCGCCGAGCCGCAGGAAAGGGCCCGCCGACCGCGGGCTACCCGAATGAGATCTCCAAAACACGTGCCTGCGCGCAGACTCCGACGCCGCCGACACGCATTCCAACGGTGAACGGCCTTCCGATCATCGGCGACCGTGACGCGCAATCAAGCGAATCTCTTGGCTCATGCGCGTGAGCGTTGCGCTTCAGCCGACGGAGAGAAGCCATCGGACGGGGCGGCGGGGAAGCGTCACGGGGAGGAGCGACGGGAGCACTCGGGTGAGACGCGCCATTTGCCGTCGGGGCGGCCGACGTCCTTTGAGGGAGGAGCTTCTCGCCCGGACGACGCGGGTGAGTGTCTCGGTGTCCCGCCGGGATGGTGGAAGCGCGAAGGTGACCGACGGCTCTTTCTCGGGCCCGTTGCGAAGGAACGGCGGAGGGTCGCTTCCCGCTCGGCCTGCCGGGTGAGCGAACCTTTTGCGTCCGTCGTCCGTTCGTAGCCCGAGTCGGCCTTTCCGAGCGTTACGCCATCGGGGGGGCGTCGTTTACATCGACGGCTAAACTACAGATGCGCGCAAGCGGCACAGAGCAAGAGACCGCGTCATAACCCCGCCCCCTTCTTCCTGCAATGACGGACGAAGCTTCTGACAAGGCGCGTGCGATGTGCTTTGCTTCTCTTTTGGCTCAAGCAGGTGAAGCAACTTGGACGGAGGCCACAGGTGCTTGTTTGTTTCTTCTTTGGCAAGGGACGAGCGCCAAACGCGCGCACCGATTTGACTTGACTCGTTTTGATGCAGATGAAGAAAGCTTGACCGACTCGGACGTCGTCCGCCCGGCGGGAGGAGGACGCGCCTCTGAGCGATGGCCTTGGACTCCGGGCACGGAGCGCACCCACCGAGACTCGCGTACTCTATCCAACACGTCATCTCGTTGTCATTTTGAAAGGGACAAAAGCGTTCTTGGCGTCTCAGTTTCCTCTCCCGCTTTTCTCTCAGTGCCTTCCTGGATGTCATCGTCACAGCAAGCAGGTAATCGAAAGGCATCGGCACGAGGTGGACTGCGTTTTGCTTTGCCCCCCTGATCTTCGGTCAAATGTTTTGGGTTCTTTTTTTTTCCCCCTGCGCAGGCAAAGACCGCTCCCAAGCGCACGGTACCGACAATCGTCTTTTGCAAGTCTTGGGCGGGAGAGAGATCGCGCCGCTTGGAAGCGGGAGCGAGTCACGAGCCGGCGCCGGTTGTGTTGACTTGAACAGGAAACGGCCGACAGACCCAGCCGGCGGACAAAGACGGAGGTCGGCCCGCGACGCCGAGGAGCGTCGGCGCCCGGCCGCTTTCTTGTCGTTATTCTTGTCGTCGTGTCCCGCAGTGACGGCTCACCCGACCTCCTTCGGCCGAGCTCCGGCGGACCGACTCCCGCGGGAACCGACGGCAACCGAGCGGACGCGGCCGTCCGCGACCGCTCCGGTCCTTCGCCTTTCGACTTCGGCCCGGGACGTGAGCCGTCGCCGCGCGGACGGCACGGGTGAGCGTCCGGTCCAACGAACGTCGCCGGCGGTCGCGAGTGGCAACGCTCCGTCACTGGACTCGCGTCGGGTTCTCGGCCGTCACGACTTGGCTTGAGTCTTCCTTTGTTTTTCCCCCCCGAAACTATTTTTACTTTTACTCCCTCCATCTGATGTGCGCGTTCATCTCGTCGAGTTGCCAAACGCGCGCCCAAGTTTGTCAGCCTCCGACCTTCGGTCAAGAACGACCGCGTAGTTCCAAGTTCGAGCCGGACGGAGTCTTGTGAAGCGGCGCAAACCCGAGCGAGCGGCGACGATTTCCCCCAATTGACACAATTTATGAAAAGAACCGTTTGATCTTGTCGGCGCCAAGAGCGATTGGTGCCTTGCTGAAAACGGCACTGAACAAAAACAGATGGAAGACGACTCGGAGACGGCCACGCCCGCGAGTGACACCAAAAGGCCATTTCCCTCAATTGCGGTTGACAAATCTTTCTGCCATTGCCGATTCGACCGCACGCCGCATGCACATTTCATCAGGAAGAACGCCATATGCTCGCAGAAAAAGAATACTTGCACGTCGCGGGGGCTCCTCGGCGAAGGGTCCGCGTCGGGTCGTCCGAAGCGTCAACGGCGAAATGAGCACCGAGGCCGTCGGGACCAAAGTTGGCTGCAAAATGAAAACCAAACCTTCCGTGAGTCACGATTCACAATGGTGAGACGGTACGCGCCGCATAGTCGACGCGAGCGCGGAAATCGGTTCCTTCGGCGCCTCTCGTGAGTCCACGCGAGGACGCGAGCGGAAAGCGCGCGGCGCTGACGACCCGAAGCCGGCAGAGGTTGTCGGCAGGAGCGGCGACGCGAGACGGCCGCCCTCCGAGGGGCCGATTCCGACCCCGTTCGCGCACGCGTCCGTCGCGTCAAGGCCCCGGCGTCGGCCGCGTTGCTCATCCTGTCGCACGACGTCACCCGCAGCGTCGTCGCCCGTGCGCACCGAGCCAGCGGGGGCCGCTTCCGCCGGCACGCTTCTGTCAGGTACGTGTCGTCGCGAGCCCGTACGCACCGGCGCCGGTCTTGACGCTTCTGTTCACGGTGGCCTTTGATGACGCAGGCACGCGGGTGTGGCGCGCTGACACCGTTACCATGGCAACGGAATCACGTAAGCCACGGCCGCCGCCTTGGGCGCCGATGTACCCTTCCGAGAAGGTGCCGACAAACCTTGTGTGTGTGTGTGTGTGTGTGTGTGCGTGCGTGCGCAAGTCTTTTCAGAGCCAACAGGAACGTCCCTGGACTCCAGTGAGTTTTCCGCTTCTCATTTTGACTCCCGTGACTGTTACATTTGGATTTTCGGGGACAAGAGTTGGACCGTGTTGGGACACCAGCGGTTTACTAAAAAGTCCACTAGAATCCCCGAAGTAGCGATCGGGCAAATTTGGCCCCTCTTTTCAGACTGAGATTCAAGGACCTCCCACAGTCCAGCACATGCAATCCCCCACGACGGCATTTCGCGGCGCACCCATCGCGGCACCACTAAAGTGTAGAACTTTTTTTTGCGTGCGTGTAATCGTCCTTGCAGTTCTCGTATTTCCTTTTTATAATGTCCTGCCTGCCGTTGAATGAAGCTGCAATTGCACCGTCAAGCACTGGATGGCGGCTCACAGTTTTGATTGCCACCAAGAATTTTATTGCCTTTGGTGAACATATTTTGACTTCCACACAAAGAATCATTTATTTCCGTGGTGAATGGTGACTGTATCCTTGAATATTGTCCCTTTTTTTTTTTTTTTTTTTAATAGAGCACTTCTTGGGAATGTTAAGCTGATCCAACCTGTTCATGTTGATGACAATGATGTGCTGGCTAGAGAGTGCGAGTTTGACTTTGCGTTTCCCAACCGATTGTTGCTTTGTTCCGCCCTCACTTGTTCTTTGTAACAAGACAAGAAAGACAAGTATTTTGTCGTCGCCTCATTTACGCTTCTTGAGGGCCTGCTGGAGCTAGGGTCCGACCTACCTCTGTGTGTGTGTGTGTGTGTGTGTGTGTGTGTGTGTGTGTGTGTGTGTGTGTGTGTGTGTGAGTGTGTGTGTGGGGGTGTGTGT